AGTGGCATCAGTTTCTTTTCATTAGGAAAAGGACATCAATTTAGCTTTTGAATATGGGAATTGGAGAGTGATATAATATCAAATCAATGGTCATTTACACACAAATTATCACCAATTTAATTTATCATAATAGATAAAATGGTATCAAACATAGTCCTTCAAATCATAGAAAATTAATGGACAGTGATTTGGCCCCTTATAATAATATGGAGCGACATCAATTTAGTATTAGAAGGATGATTTTGATAACAATTTTCATTATTGAGATTATAATTAATGACTTACATTTTTCAAAGGCTTAAGTGATGTCAACTCAGCCTTCGGGGAACTGAAATGAGTGTTTCCAAGTTAAGATGTTGGGATTTGGGTGGGTGCCACCTGTTGTGGTTGAACTAAAATCATATTTTCTTATAATGAATTTTCTTAGCATACAAAAAAATTAAAACGTAAAAGAAAATATGTTCTATATTCCTTGTCCTATATTTATTATCTTCGTTTTTTAGACATCCCTCTTTTAACTTTGCAGAGTTAGTGTTTCAAACTTTCAGAGACATTTTTTATCTTCGTTTTTGAGACATTCAAGTTAGTTTGAGACTTGTTTTTTATATTTTAGAAACATGGATCACATACATTTGTTTTGCGTTTTAAATTGCACTTGTGGTCACGGTTGCGATTACTGGAGTTGCGAGTATTGCAGGTATTGCGATGTGGATTGTGGCCGTTGCGGTGTGAAATTATTAATTATTTTTACTAAATATAAAAAATTTATAATTATCAATATATATTTTATTTTTAAGGATTTATACATCTTAATACCTTTTTTTAAAAAAAATATTTTATTATTTTAATGAATAATTTAATTTATTTTAAAATTATAGTATCAATTACGGTGCGTTGCGGATGTGTTGTAGACACAACACCGTTACGTTGCGAAAAAAAAATGTGATTTTTGGTCTCACCGTAATTGCGATCCGATGCCATTGCAGACAAGGTCACAACCGCAATATTGCGACCGCAATACGTGATGCAGTCTGCAATTTAGAACACTACCATTAAGACACCATGATAGGAAGAAGGACTTGGGATGCTTATTTACTCTTTATTTTTTTATTTTGGTGAATTTTGTATCTTATCAAAATACAACCTTAATCTAGCTTTATTACTCTTCAAAAAATTCAAACATTTAATTAGTAACATTACTTATATGTTCATTTTTTTTTGTTGATCTTTTTCAGGTTCTGATTAAAGAAAAATTGACCTCATAAGAAAGGTAACAGCTAGTGGCCATCCTACACAAGCAATAACAGAAAGGGAAAGAAAAAAAGAGAGAAATAGATAACTGCTATCACCAACAAGCTAAGACTATAGGTACCTAACTGCATTACAGAAAACAGAGAAAAGGAAATCACCGTTGATCAATCACTTGTCATTACTTTCCCCTTTTCTTGTAAATAATGTTCCTAAACAAAATCATTAATCAGGAGGGCTACCCAAAAAGGATAAGCTGCTGCTGGTTTCAAAATTAACAACATCTAGCTAGAAGAGAAAAAGTAAAAGACAATAATATACTTGGATAAATTAAATATTTTAAGTGCTTGTGATACTGTTTCTAAATTAAAATCATCAGTTACTAGCCCAATTTAATCAAGGTCATTATTTAAGGCTGAGGCTATATATACTAAGGTAAACTTTCAATTTTAACTAAAGAACAATAACCCTATATGCATAAGAGTAACAAATTAAGAGTAACCTTACAATGAGTTTTATGCAGTGCTTAAAACATCAAACTTATCTGTCGAATAAAGGAAGCTTCACTGTCATTTGAAATAAAGAAACAAATTTGAATTTTCGCTTGTTGCAAACACTAGCTATGCAATCCTCTAGGTTTCATTAGGTTATTATATAATTATTGAATTTGTTTGGATAAGTTTTTCCATAAACATTTCTAGGAAAGAAAAATATGAAGAAAAATTAAAATAAATTTCTCTATAAATTAAATCTAACTTATGTATGAGTACTTACAAATAAGATTTTAGTCTTTTATGGTGTGTTTGGGGTAGTGGTTTAGTAGGAAATGAAGAAGAAAGGGAGGGATTATCAATAAATTAAAAGAAGAAAACATGTCTGTTTGGAGGATATAATTTAAGTGAATTTGTGAGGAGATTGTGATGGAGCCCATGTAGATTTAATTCACTATCTTATTGGTGGAATATTTGTGTGAAAATATAATTATGAATACCAACTTTTCTCTATTTCTCACCTAATTCTACTCTACCAAACAATTATAAATTTCACATTATTTTTTATTTATTTTCTATCAAATTAATTCTTACTTATTCTTTTTCATTCTTTTCAATTCTTCCTTCTCTCCCACACAAAGCATTAGAGAAACTAATAAAAAAAGAATTTAAATAAATTAGCCTAGCTAATTTTAGTTTATAGACAAGTTTATTTCATTTTTTTTCTTATTTTACTTTCCTAAAAATACTTATGAAGGAGTTTATTTAAATAGATAATTAATAAAGTTGTAAGATTTGAACTTCAATTTCCCTAAAAAGGATCAACTTAACTGTGGTTTGCCTCAGTGTAAATTCAATCAGCCATATATATATATAATCATCTGTTGTTGATCTTGCAGTGTACACATATTTCAGTTATGAAATTAATTCAAGTCTCCGAAAATTTACTCTTTATTTTGTATAACTTACATGGTTGAATGTGCTTGCACCAAAGCTTTCATATACAGCCCATATGGGAGGCCTTTGTCAGTCAAATTAATTAATATGCTTCGTCCATCCAACTGAGTGTCTCAACCATGGTAGCCTTCTAATTTTATCACTCAGAGTTTGGTGACTGATAAATGAAAACTGTCTTTGCTAATCATCCTATTTTAGTCAGCCACATTACTAATGTGCACACATACGCACACATTTTGTGGTTTCCTTTACAATTTCTTTTTAATGAAGTAAATGTATGTTATCTCTCTCTCCCTTTCTCTCTTTTTTAATTTTTTTTTTATCTTTTCTAAAAGGGAAAAAGTTATAATGTAAATTGTCTAAGTAATTTTCAAAATAGATTTGTTTAATTATATATAAAAATGATTTTCTCACATGTTAATCTTTGTTTCTCAAGGAATGATAAGAATATAAGAAGTTATGCTTAAGACCTTGGGTTAAGATTTTTCTTTCTTTTGTTTTCTGTCTTTGTTCATAATTTTCAATTCTCAATTTGGTGTATTTCTTATCCAGGAGAAATATAGCTAAAAACTCGCACCAAACAATGAAGATATAGAAAAGAATAAAACTGACATGAGTAGAAATGATAAAGGTAAAAAGTTGGGTATGGGTCAAAACTAGAAGGATGGAAATTAAAATACCTTATCCGTGATGTTTTATTCCATTACTAAGTTCATCTTGATATGGTATTTTTTTTAACACACAAGGATGTAATGGGAAGGGTACCCTTGTACTCCACCGGTCATCTAATATATTTTGTCTTATCTAAAAATAGAAATGAATAAATTAAACAATGGAATGTTTTGTTGAAAACTTAGACAACTAACAATATATCATGCTTCGTTAAGAAAGTTTTTTCCAGGTATAGAGAACTTTTCTCACATGACTTCTTTTCTATATGCCAAAAATATTGTTAAAGGAATATAAATTGTACTTTAACCCATTAATTACATCTTAGAATAAGAAAATCATCAGCTAATAAGATAACTTATGCAATCTATGAATTAGTACATAAACCAGAGAAGAAAATATGATTTGAGTAATTTTAATCCAAGAAGTAAGATAAAGATCTAACCTTAATTAACTCCAACAGCCTAATTAAAGAAAAATAATCTTGTCTGTAAACAATAGTGTACGTTACACAATAGGTCTAAGGATTAGATAACCACATGTAATACATAAACATCTTAATTATATTTTTCTATAGGAATTTGTCTTGTCTAAAGTAAGAACCTACACTTTGAATGATAAGCTAAAAATTTGTTAAACATTTTAATGATAAATTTTAAAAGGCATTGTCATAGATAAACACACACCAAAAATCTAACCTAGTGGGGGAAGACTGTTTTTTTTTTTTTGGGTAGTTGTTGTAGTATTATCATAAAATACATATCTGTTTATAACATACTAAAAAACTGTTAAATTTTTTCTAATTCACATATGAAATTATATTTTATTTTTAAAATACAAACTCTCTTATGATCTACAAATGATGGACATCATAATATATTAAGCATGAAGTTTCAGTGTACCCTTTTGTCAATTTATTTCAGAAACTTGTATTACAAAATTACTTTTTTCTTGTTGGTTTATAATCTCTCTTTCTCTCTCTCCCTCTCTCCCTCTCTCTCTTTCTCTCTATATATATATATAATTTTTTCTTACTAGGTCTCCAATTCTTGATATGTCAATTTTTGAAACTTGCTTCTTGTAAACTATTTTATATTTTAGTTTCAAGTAATTTTCCTTAACACCTTTAATTTCATCCTTATATATTCCTTAATATTTTGTAATGAGCTGGAAATACCATGTTGAATATTAAAAATATGAAGTCAATTATAATATTGACTTTGAAGTAAGTGTGTGGATCACCCAAGTGTCTATTCAGTCACATCTATAAAGATAAGTATCACACATTAAAAGACACTCGGGATGCTACCCACAGACAAGCTAAAATATGCATCCGAGAAGTGACCCAATATTATCCTATTCTAATTGGACTTATTTTAAAACAGCGAAAAAATGCCAATACAGCACAAAAAAGACAAAATATATGTAAATGCATTTGAAACATCTCCACTAATATGTTTCATGGTGGTATAATAAATGCATTAAGTAACCCAGGTTAGGGTAAAAAAAAGATTTAATTGGTTATTTTCTTAGTTAAAAACATGTATAAGACCGTTATACGAACTATTGAATTTGTACCATGACACTGAATAAGCAGGTAGCTTTAGGATCAGAGCAGAAACAATGGAAAAGGAAACGTGTTATTATATATAGAGATGAAATACAACCGTTATATATTTCCCAGATACGTAGATGCGGAAGGTACCTTACAACGTTAAATTGATCTGAACAAGGAAAGTTAAGAAATACATAGCAGGCTTGCGCATATCTGTCGGCACATCAAAGATATACTATGGGATGTGATTGTTTTATGCCTCCCACGGTTTTCCCAAGGACAGAAATTCTGCAAATTGGTGCTGCAAAAATTTCATTGACTAGTGAGCAGAGTTGTTACTGATACAATTCAACCATGCACTTTGCATATATAAAATATTAATTATAGTTAAATACAGTTGACCAGATTAAGATGATTTCTTCGAAATAGTTTTAACTTTTGATCATTTGTTAACTGAATATAATGATGTGTTAATTTCTCCAGTTATATCTTCTGATCTATGATTTAGTTTATATAGATTGATTCTCTTAATGTTTATGTATATGGGCTAGAATACAATACCTTTCTTTTATTATTGAAAAAATAATAACAATAATATTCATTTCCCTTTCAATAAAACATTATTGTGAAAGCAGCCTATGTAGAAATTAATTTGGTGTTGAAGGAAGTTTTCTACCTGCTGACACTAATTAAGACTTACTTCATGAGAGAATCCAGAGCCATTGAAAATCAAGGAGGGGCTCCATTTGTTCAAAATAACCAAAGAATCATCATCATCATCATCATGTGCCATGGCCTGTACATGAGTCTCCAAATGCTCCTTTGGATGTTCTTTAGCTTCAGTGATGATTACGTCCAAGGAAGAGTGCACACTATGGGTCTTGGTACCACTTTCAAAGGGGTTCCAAGAACCCAATTGAGTCAGATCTTGATTTGTTTCTTCTCCACATTTCGTTGATTCATCAGAAAGTAGCACTCCACGAGTTCTCATCTTTTCTCTTGTTCTCTCTCTCGCCCTTTCCCTTGCCCTTTCCCTACACTCCTTTGCAAGAGGGTGGAATGCCCTACAATGCTTGACCTTTCTTTTCACAACCTTGTCCACCCTCTCCTCTTGTTGTTCTCGACCTCCACTAACCACAACCTCATCAACACTAGACACACCCTCTTCACATTCCGAACTTGATGAAGAAGCACCACTCTTGGCACCACAATTGTGATCATCATCATGATTCTTCTTCTTGTCCTTTTTCTTCTCTCTTGCCACACGGTTGATTTCATCTTTTGCTTGGTTCAGTAGCCACTCCACGGTCTTGCTAGCTTTGTCGAAGCCTAGCATATCTTGCAAGCCGAAAAACCTCTTTGCAACTTCAAGTGAAAGTCTCATTCTCCGATCCCTCAATCCTCTTGCAGTGTTGATCTTGCTGTGCCTATCTCTCTTGCCAGTTCTTTTTCTTGGGATCTGATCACTGCTTCTAACAGAAGCCTCCATAAAAGGTTCTGGCTCAGTGGCTTGAGGTTGAGCTTGGTGGTGAGACTGAAGAAGAAAATCGTGGTGCTGTTGGAGGAAAAATTGAGTTTCTTCAAATGGGGGTGAGGGAAAGTGGAAAAAGGACAAAGGAGGGGGAGAAGGGAGGTCATGGTAGTTGTTTTCTTGTTTTGATGTAGGTTTGCTTTGAGAGTCAATAGTAAAGGGTCTTGTGTAGAAAAATGCTGGGTCATAATAGGAAATTTGGTCATTACCATTGTGAGAGAGAAAAAACGTATCTGATGAAGTTTGAGATTGCATATTTTGCACCAAATACTAACCCTTAACCCTACTACTACTATTGGAGGTGCAGTACTGGACTATAAAAAAGAGACTGAGAACGACGTGTGCTAGCTTCACTCTCCTCTTCTATTCAACAACACCATCTGTGTCGCACCCTTTTCATTGCGTTTAAGATTTTGCTTCTGCTTTCTCTCCCTGCAACCAAACGAACACTTAATTAATAGAGATACTTTGTGTTAAGTAGAGAGTGATTGAGGTGGACAGCGTTTAATGATATACAACATGTATGTTAGAGTAATGAACATAATGCAATTGTACAATTGGTAATTCACCAGACAAGTACCACAGGTTGAGAAAGACAGCACAAACAGTAATTCATTACAGGGAGAGAAAGAGAGAGGGGAAGTAAGTAAAGATAGTTATATGTGATGTTATAAGAGATAAAGAAGGGGTGAAGGGGAATTTATTATTATTGTAGACAAAGAATTGAAGCACCTTTTGAAATATTTGATGATCTTTGCTTTTGAGGAAAAAGTGAAGGGCTTTAGGGTGATATACATAGTGAGAAGAAATGAGTGGATAGAAGTTGAAAGTTGTGGCATACTTCACGTGGTGCGCAGGCGCGAGTTGACAGGGAACTAAAGCCAACTAAGTCGACTCCACGCTCGTCCCTTATACTCCCTCATCACACCACTCACTAGCCCCACTTCACTTCACCCTCTCCAATAAGGTTTCATTTGCTACCAAAGACTCCTTTTCACAATATTGCATCACTGCATTTTCATGCTTTGTCCCACAGAATAGCAAGGAGAAGGGGTTTCACATGCCATCACTTTTTATGGGAACATTCACATAAAATCAGGGTCCATTTGGGATGTTACGTGTATTACTTTAATAAATTAAATCACATATATTTATATATTAATAAAGTAAAATTTGTTGAATTAAGCGTTGTATTATGTAAGAACATTAATTGAGAAAGTAAACAAATTATTTATATTTTAAAATTTATATATTATATTAATTTTAATATATACCAATTTAGTATCACAATTTTAGGTTAACAGAAAATTATATATATATATATATATATATATATATATATGTATATCATTATAAATTTTTACTAATTATTACTATATTTTATTATTTTTAATTAAAAGATATTTTCTCAAAACACGTAGTTAGACTAATTTTTTTTCATATATATATTATTCTCACGTTTCTTAAACTTTTCATCTTTTTATTATTTTAAAGCTTTAAAATTTATGAATGAAAGTTACAAGTTTGTAATAAAATAACAACTTAATAGGGTGCACTAATATAAAAAAGAATTTTTATGTCGGATGTAATTCATATGACATATAAAGTGACGTAGTATATAAATATGACAATTTTTATGTTGGGTGTTGTTTTACTTGTGGTAAAAAAAATTTTCTACGTCGGATGTCATTATATTCATTATAGAAAGGAGTTAAATACAAATTTAACACTTCCTAACACATTCTATAATAGGTGTAATGACACTCAATATAAAAAAAACTTTATATGATGGGTGTTAAAATTTCAAATAAAAAACATAGTTTGTGTTCTAGATTTTTGTTTTTGGTTTTGTCTTTTTTTCTCTATCTTTTTCCTTCTTGTATATTTAGATAAATTATGTTCTTCTTATACCTTCTTCTTTTTGTGTTTTTTTTTTGTTATTGTTTAAATATTGATAGTTTGGTGGTTTGAAAGTAAACATGATAGTGTCGAAACACAAAACACGGTAACTACATAAAAAGATGTGAGAACGAGAAGGAAAGAGGGTGATGGAGAATGCGCAAAGATGCAACAAAAAAGAAAGAG